CTCGAGGAGGACGAAGCTGCTCACTAAAGCGGTATCGAATTTTGGGGGGAAGGTGATCTCAGACAACTTCATCTATAAAAGTCGTTATCAAGAGATGTCAAATTAGTCAATTCCGAGTGTCTGGATTGAACCGACTTTGCGGGCGAGCGCGGCGATCGCGCGGTTTCTTTTGTTCGCCTTAACAGACAAAGCGGCTCACAACTCAGCGAGAGTCTCCGTGCCAGGAAGAATAGAGGTGGGCGCCGAGGAAAGAGGTGGGGGTCGATAATCCTTTCGAAAGTAAAAGGTCGGATATCAGTTATCTCTCAACAATCGTTGCCGCGTTAGTGATAGGCGCCGTTAATCCTAGTGTATAGTGTACATTTATCTCGTTGCAAGCGTCAAATTCGATGTATGTAGGATTTCATTACTGCAAATACACACAATTGACCCCCAGCTTGCAACCAGGGGAAAGAACGAGTGTCAATGACAAGCGACGTGCATGCGTCATCTTTCACACGAGTATGTTGCTTATTCCAACGCGGAAGTCATGGGAGTCGGGACAGTTCAGGCCTCCAGGGCGACGAACAACTTCTGCAATCAATCCTCCGTGGACGCAACATACCCCTCTAGGAAGAGCAAACACCCGACCCGTTATTCTGCTTGTTGGTGCGGCCTCATTGCGGGCCTTCAGTGCAAAAGTACCACCTGGCGGTGACTTATACAATGTAAATGGGCTAAACGTGGCTTCAGTAACTAAACATGCACGCACATATGCTTAAATGCCCAAGACCGATATTGGCAATGCCTTGATTGTCTGCACAAGGTGCTTAAGAGCAGAGACGGGGCGGTTTTACTGTGGTTTCATTGTTGAGTGAAATAGAGGACTCTCTGCAAGGATTCGTAGACAGAGGAGATGGTCACTGAATCGATAGGCTGGCTCAAAAAGAGGTGGATAGGTACACAACGACCTCACGTGTGACATAATTGTATAGGCCAGTGATTGATTATTTAGTGGACAAAAGGGACGGAAGCAAATGCACCGTTGTTAATGAGCCTTGGATCTTTTACTTATGCTTAGGAGTATGGAGAGCTTCGCTAATTGTTAAGATCCGGGCTAACTCAAAACTCCGGTGGTTTGCTACAGGCAGTTCCTCCATGCCATTAATGATAGTGAATATTTGTGTCTCTGATAAGAACAAGACAAGCCACAGCGCACACTTCGCCCAAAGGTTTGACGAACGGAATATCCCCTCTCCTGTCCAAGTATCGTCGTTCACACATTATTAAGCCCTGCCTCCGTTCCTTGGTTCTGCCGACTTCAACGTCAGTAGATAGCGCAAGCGAGCGTTTTCAACATCTGTTATCAGACATCTTCTCCATCAGGCACTGACTGTCCATCGGAGAATCAGAGCTGGGTGAGGGTACCCCATATATGACCATGAGTTACAAAGGGGCTCGCACCTAAAACAGAAGAAAAACCCAAAACGCCGAGCAGCTTCCTATGACTTCCTGTTGGACAATGCCAATGCGAAAAATAGCATACATGATGTGAGATACGCACTACACGCGCAAGTGCTCGGACGCATCGCAATCCAACCTACCCCATTCTCCATTCCCCCAAAAAAGGAAAGAATGGGAAAAGAGACTGACGGGAGGCCGCATTGAGAAAGAAACGAAACCGGGTACCTGAGGTCAAGAGGAGTTATGGTAGCCGCTAACTATCAAATCGAACAGCCGACCGTCCTGATTGTAGGATAAACAAACCGTGCTGGCGAATGGAACGGTGAAATGTAGGGGAAGCAAAAAATGAGATTAGGGGATGGAACTTGATCGCATAGGCTTCGTGACACGGGCGTATCTTGCATCTGACTGATTTTTGGTGCCTCAAAAGAGAAAAGAAAGAACGAGCAGATCCCTCTCTAAATATCAAAATGAGCACCGCCCACCATCTGTTCGTCTGTGCTTGACATTTTGGACACGTCACTCATGCAATTTGCTTTCCGTCGGTCAATGTTATCGCCGGTTTCCCAATCGTCATCATCGTGGGGTTCTTGAGCATCGTCCATATCTTCGTCATCGTGTGAAAATCGGTCCCTCATGTGATCATCCAGAGCACTCTCGTCAACATAGGTAAAGCCTTGAAAATTAGCTTGAACAGAAGGAGAAAGTGGTGTCGACGTAGCGTAGCCATGCGCCAAAGCTGCTGCACGCTCATTCAGAGAACCATTCTGATCCAACGCTGTGGTGAATTCAGGATCAAAGTATGAGACGTCCGTTTCTGACTTCAGGTTCGGCTTGAAAGGAGGGGTAATGAGTTTCTTCGTCAGTAGGTTCCAGTCGATGTCCGCAAAGAAAAGATGCTGCTTCAACTCTTCAGCATCGTCTGTAGCGCCGAGCCTGTGTTTCGGGTTCCTGTTAAGCAATCCTTTGACGAAATTCCGGCCCTCTTGCGACAGTGTTTCTCGGGGAAATCTGACTTTGCCAAAGGCAATATTTTTGTACATCTGTTGGGTATCTTCGGCGTAGAAAGGGCTCCAGCCACAGCACATTTCAAAGACAAGGACACCCAGCGACCAAAAGTCAACCATTTTGGTGTACCCAGACTCGTCCAGGAGGACTTCGGGTGCCAGGTATTCTGTCGTGCCGCAGAAAGTATTTGTGGTATCATTCTTCGTCAAATTCGCTTTAGATAAGCCAAAATCACAAAGTGCAATATGTCCATTTGCATCAAGCAAAATGTTCTCCGGCTTCAGGTCGCGATATACGATGTCGTTGTTATGCAGGTGCTGAATAGCCAGTATCAGCTCAGCGATGTAAAATTTTGCGCGCCTCTCATCAAATCGCCCTTCCTTCTGCAGATGCCAGAATAGCTCGCCTCCGGACATGTAATCGGTAACTAGATACAGCTCGGAGGGTGTCTGGAATGAGAATTTGAGGCCGACAATGAAGGGCGAATCCGAGGTGGCCGTCCGCACAAGAATGTTGCGTTCTCCGACTGTGTGGGCAACCTCCTTTTTCTGCACGATCACCTTTTTCTGCAAAACTTTCATTGCGTAGATTCGCTGAGTGTCTTTCTTTCGAACTTGATAGACCTGTCCAAATGTACCCTTACCGATGAGCTTAAGAATTTCAAAATCACTTGGACCGAAATGCTTTTTTTCCGATCTTTGATAAAAAGCCTCGACATATATCTCGCCGGTGGGGGCATTTTCGGCAACGGTGTCCGCGTGGCCCCGTAACGGAAACCAACCCCTCACAGCGCTGTCGACATCTCTTCCGGCCTGGAAATTGACATGACCAAGGAATTCCTCACCGGTAGCGGCGTGATCGTAGACTGAAATGTCAACCAACGTATCTATGTCGACGACATCACTAAGACTCCAAGTATTAGCGGATCAAATAAACTTCGGTGACTGGCCCATTGTTTGTACGTACAAGACGGCCTCAGCATCCCATTTCGGGTTTGTCAAAAATGACCGAGCGGTGCGATTTCGAAAGGTACTGTACTCATGAATGCTGGTGTTGCTGCTTTGACGGCTTCTCATTGGAATGGCCATAGGTGGGCGGCCTGAATCGCTGCCCTGTCGCTGAATTGGTATTCCACCAAGTCCAGACGGAGTGATGCTCAATGCTTCTTCCTCTTCCATCGATCGTCGTCCACCGGAAATAAGCTCGCTTCGCTGAAATACAGCGACGACATAGGGATCTCGACACTTTCGCAAGCCGCGAGCTTCGGCGATCTTTATGGTCAGTTTGCCCTTGGGGACTGGAGGTTGGAGGCCAGCTGTTCTTGTGATCCGAGCCCCGCCGGCAATATCCGGTCCATCACTGCTAGTCCTACCCGGTGTTTCTCTGCCGTCTGACTGCGAAGAATGAGCAGCAGATAAGGCTCTCGTAGGAGTCGGCGGACCGCTCTTAAAGATGACACCACGGGTTAGCTCTTTCAATCCCTCGAGCGTAAACCACTTGCTAGGAGCGGAGATTGTGGAGGAGTTATGCCTGCAGGGCGAGGAGCGTGAAGATGAGGATGGAGTGGGCAATAACTGAGACGCAGTATTTGATGCTGATTCTGCTTCTGCCAGCTTTTGTAGAGCAGCGGCCTGGCAGATGACCTCGGCGCGGGTCTCATGAACTGCATGGACAGCGGAGACCGACTTGGCCTGATCTCTACCTTCTAAAGATAGGCCCTTACACGAAGAAGCTTCTGAATGGGATGGTTGTGAGGAAGGTGGTGTTGGGTATGAATGAGAAGCCATTAGTGCGGGCGAGATGGCACCCGGAGCCACATTGAGCGTTTGCACTCGTCCAGGCATTCGGCCATATGAAACGCTTCGATTACAGCGTAGATTATCCCTTGTTGTAGGACTCTGTGGCCGCTGTCTCGAGGATGGCGATGGGCTCGGGATCGGCAGATCCGACTGTTGTTTCGCCATGAAACTCGCAGACGATGGAAGAACAGGAGGAAAACGAGAGGGATCGTTTGCAGAAGGGTCTTGACGAACCTGGCTGAAGTAGCTCATGATTCCTGGCAGGCGCTTGTCGTGGAGATCCGGTTGAGGCGTGGCTACACCAGACCGCGGTGTGTCAACGCCGATGTGATCCGCTCCATCCTCGTCGGCGGTCCTGGTGGATGATGGGTCAACGCTTTGCATTGTCGTCGTTTTGGGTAACGGGTACCAGTGTGGACTCATGGCGTATTCCAGACGGTCGCAAAGAAGAAGAACAGGAACAGTGGACGGGCGGATTTGGAGATTCAAGAAGCAGGACCGTGGCAAAGGCTTGCATCAGATCGGCGAGCAGGGTCTCGGGCGTATTTGAAGAGTTTGATGGGAAAGCCACTAGTACATGACAGTTGCCAAGAATCTGCTTTGAGGAGGGGCGCAAACTGAGGTTGCAGTTCGATGTGCGCATCAGACTGAGCAGTGAGGAGTGTCCGAGTGCACAGTAGATGACCATTGACAGCACAAGTGTTTCGATTGAATATGACTCTAATTAAATGGCTATTTCACGTGATCAAAGGCCGTGTGGCTCAATGGCAGAGCGTCTGACTACGATTACCATAGGGTACAATCCCTGGAATGCTAAATCAGAAGGTCGCAGGTTCGACCCCTGTCTCGGTCATCTTTTTTGCCGTCCATTTGCTTTACGGGGTACACACGAACCGATACGATAGGTATGGGCCTCACAGAGCTTATCAATACGCGCTAAGATAAGGACCCCTGTCAAGCTGTTATGTATGTACTGTGTACATACCTACATAGGTAGGTACCTAGGTACCTATGCAGGTACAGCCCCACCAAGAAAATAACGCCCAACGCCAAATTGGACACATTTTGGATCACCACAACCTATTTATTTCACTTTTTCGCAATCTGGCCATTTAAAATGTCAAAAATGTATAATTAAGCAAGTCTATAGAATCATGAAGGCTTAATCAATTGAATGCCTCAATACTTTGTATACCAACCCTTGGAATATATCACAGCCTAAAGACGGCGAGGCACGCTGTCGATCAGGTCGTTAACAAGCTGTTGTATATCCATATCTTCCCAAACATCTGTGGCAATTTCTTCCAGGTGTTCCAAGGCGGCCTGGTTACTCTTCATAAGCACCATATTCGGATTCCGCTTGAAAATTCGCTGTTTGAGGCATGACCAGAGGTTCTCAATGGGATTCAGGTCGGGCCTGTATGGCGGCCATGGCAGAGGAGTGACCCCTAGATCCTCGAGGCATTTTTTCACGTTTCTGGCTGTGTGAATCGGCGCGTTGTCATGCATGAAGATAGTATCACCAAAG